TGATATTTGTTGGCGACTCCCTTATAACACACTCAGCGGTACGGGTCGCTTTATTACATTACTTGTACTTTCCATTAGTTGTTGCTTGGAATATTGTGTTCTCTAAAGAAACATTATTCACAGATTTATTTAGCAGAGTAAGAAAGATAAGGGGCACAAACAAAAACACGAAATGCGTGAGTCACATAAATGTTGTATTTTAAGAAAATCTCATCTGCTACTTAACATTAAGTTGTGTAATGTGGTTAACCGCAGTTATTAAGGGTAAAAGATTGTGAAAACAATGAAAAGTATGTACTGTATTAAGTAGTGCGAACAGACCACTGCTAAAGCTAAAAATCCTTGAGGCAGGAATGAAATGAGTGAGTTAAAGGGTTTTCCCAAGCACCATAACTGTGTAGGTGATTTGACATTGTCATGGTGCCTGGAGTCTGTATGTGCAGTGTTTCGCTTCAACGTCTGCACATTGAAAGATTAACCATGTAGCTGCTGGAGATGTAACTCCTCCCCCAGCAGTGCCATTGTGATGTCATCAGCCAGCAGTGAATTAAAGTTCCCAGCTGGCTAACGTCAATTCTGTACAACTTTCATTGCACAGAATGCCAGTCATTGGCTGAGAGAGGTCACCTGGCTCTCTCAGCCAATAAATGTCAACCACCGTGGCTTCTGGCTTCTGCAGCTCTGTTGAAGCATATCACTTGTCTACCAATGAGCATCAGAACCCGACAGTGGACCCAGGTAAAAGGGTAAACCATTGCTAATTGGTTTTCCCAATTACTGGGGTAATGGGCAGGGGTACTCCTGGCATCATAAACACTACAGCAGGCTGTAGTGTTTATAATGTTTTGAGTAACCCTTTAATGGAGGATTTTGACGAGTTTTGCTTTGGAGACTTAAAAATTATGGACAATGATTTATCAAAGTGTCATGGACTTAAAAGTGCGGCAAAGATATAAAGTGAGACAATCACTATGGGAACCACTGAAATCCGCAGGAACATTCCATTGGTAATTACTTTTAAATCATTCTTCCCGCTGTGTCACTCTAAGCATCGTGTGGTCCCCTGTGTTTTTGTTTTCTTCCCTCAACATCTATACTTGAACATTTTTTGACAGTTGGTCATTTTCGAAGCAAAGGCAGGTTGTTGTCCACCTTTGCATCCTCAAGTTAGGGGGTCTCTGTCCTTAGTTTGTGCCTTATTGCCCTGTTGGCATGCTGCACTACAAAAAAACAAAACTTGAATGTTTATAAAAAACATTTTGTGCAAATGTATCTAGGTTTTACACTTCCAGAGGTTTCACTGATAAACTTGGTAGACATCCTGCTACAAAGATAGACTATCCTACAAACCTATGAAAATGTACCACCAGAAATGCTTTAAGCCTGTCCAAAAGTGTCACTGATCAGGTGATTAGTTAATACTTTTTGAAGTGCGTTTGTCAATGCATTGATTCAGTATTCCTAGATGAGAAATAGAGATCAGTGAAAACTACTGGCCATAGTGCCAAAAAAATGACATTTTCTGTAATTAATGAATTAATCACTCTCTACAACAAAGCCGTCACCTTACGTTTATTTTGGTTAAGACGTTAAAACCTTATAAACCGGTCTGATTTTACGAGGTGTCATTTGGATTTTGTTGGGTTTACTCAAAGATCGTGTATGAAGAAATAAAAAAAAAAAACATTCCTTAAGAAGTTAGGAATGTACGTACACATGTTTTTAGGTGACGGTGTAGTTTGTGATGTGTTGTGGGATTGGGTGAATGTCTCTATTGATTAGCATATGGTACCTTTTTTTTTCATAAGCGGCCAAAGTCATCAGTAGATCTTTTAATTGCCTTTTCTTTATTGAACTAAGTCTTACAGGGTTATTTACTCATGTGTGGATTCAAGGTGAAGCTCATACTTGAGACCAAAATAGCAAAATTAGAAAAATTCTTCAATTCACCCATGGCATACCCCTCAAAATGGAGAGGTGTGACGCAACTTAAAGGGACATATCAGCCTGGCAAGGTCAGCCCCCAAACTACAGGACTACACTTACAGGATGAAATGATGGACCGAAATCTCCAATCATAAATCCAATGGGGACATTGGAAGTTGTGTATTTTTAACAGCATCATCCCTATACTACACTCAATGTATTTCATTTATTCTCTCTTTCTCTCGTATTTGTGTAACATAAACAGGGTTATTTAGTAAAACGGAACGTGAATTAAAAGTGAATTTCGATATTAAGGCCGGAGTATCTGAACTAAAGGCATTGCTGACTTGTAGAGTTTTTCCAGTTTAGATACTTTGACCTTAAATTTGAAATTCACTTTAAATTCACACTTTAGTGAATAACCCTTTAATTAAATATAACACAACTAGAAAATGCAAGATGTGATAAATATTTTTCTCTTGGTCTGAGAGCGCAAGCCTTGGCCCTACTATTCTTATGTGATCGCATTCCCGGAATTCCGTGCAAGTCATTGGCTGACAGAGCATTAAGGGAAATATAAGTTTAACATAACCTTGGTAAGTTCTGCGTCTCTAAATAAAATATTTACTCACTGCTGTAGATACTATATATTTGTTTTCTTTTTTATATCTCCGACGCAACTGGCTTTTAGTAGTCGGTAGGTTAAAGGAACACTCTAAACACTTAAAGCACTTAACTCATTGAAGTGTGAAGAATGTGTCCTTTTATTTTTATTTTACAAAAAATGCGGATTTCAATTAAAATGTACACTTTTACAAATTAATCTTGCTATGCCCTCCCCTGGCTGTCAATCTTACAAAAGGTCATGTTACTTCCTTCATTAGTTAGCGCAGTGGATATAAACTCAAGTGGCAGCATTTGCCCAGCGCACCTGCTTTGCAAATGCTTCTCATTGAGCTGCAATGGGAAGTCTGTGATTGGACAGCTACAGAAAAAGGGGCGGGGTGCTTGCAAAGGCTGCAGACAAGTTATCTGCAGCGTTTGCAAGTTGTTTTTATATTTACCCCAAATTAAACAATGCATAATAAAATGCATGCATGTTTTTTGGTATATATCTACTAAATAGTGTTTTTTGGGGGCTGGGGGCTCTGGAGTGTCCTTTTTAAATTAACGGTATTGCATACTTGCTAACATTGGGAATTATGCTGATCGGGACAGGTGGGTGGACCTGAGAGGGGGCATCAAGGTCTGATGGGGCATATCTGTCTGGCTCCCAGTTTGCAGAACCTTTCAGAGAGTTCTGTTAAAGTGCTCTCTTCAGGGTCCTAGTACTCATGCGCAATACAAGCGCATCTAATGATGCACTCGCGCTGTGCTACCCGGGGACAGTTCCTAAATCCGGTCGGCGGAACTGTTGGGAGACCTGGTATTATGATTTCTATATAGGCGGACTATGGTCGCAGAATTAATCACTGTAATGGCTGACCCAAATTTCTTTCTTTTTTTTTTTTTTTTGTACGATTTGCAGGTGAGATGTTAAACTAATAATCATTACGAATGTTTCTCTAGAACTGATTCTCATTCCTTATATGTTATGTAAAAAAGGTTTTTAAAAAAACAGTTTCTGCATTTGCTGCAAATCCCGACTGAAAACAAGGCAGTAGAGACCTGTTGTCAGCCAGTGTCGGCCTTCCTGTTATTTGCAATGGAATCGACAGGGAAAACCCGTAAACTCTGCAGAGGTTTATGGGCAGTTTGTAGTTCAGCATTTCCATTCATCAGAAAATTTAAATGAAAATGCTCCCCAGGCTGATCACCATGAAGCCGTGGTTGCCGTCAGCTGACCAGTACCATCCTTCGTGGTATCATGTATAATCTATTGTCATGCGTCTCATTAGGCAGGCCAATATAAAGCTGCATTTGATTCAAAATTCAAGGATTTTACTATTACCGTGACGTAAAGTCATGATTTTATTAATGACACGGAGGCAAGTATTATGCTGCACTCTTTCTTTATTTCCCTCGGCAACAAAGAACATTTTGTTATACACATAACCAGTAAATAACAGTAATAGTCAGAGCGGTAATCTTCCCAGTAACAGGAACAGCCAATCAGATTCCATTCTCTCCAGCATAATAGGCTCCGACAACCAATCCGTTTCCTCTTTATTTGTGGTCCCGAAAAAGTATAACTATCCAACCAAACGTGGAACCGTGTACAAAGGGGATGTCCACATCCTAGTATAAAACTGGGTGTACGTGGGGGGCGTGGCTAACCGCCGAGCAAGATGGACGCCTGAGATTTTGCTCCGGCACGAGGGCTCCCTTTCTAAGAACTTTCACATTGAGCTGAAAACCTGACACCCACCAAACTCCTCATGGCAACCTCTAAAACCAAAAAGGCTACCTCTAAGGCCGAAAAAATGAACTTTTTCGGCCAAAAATCCTCCTCTGCCGCGGACCCGCCACGAGCGGCCGGACAAGAGGGCGCAGACGAAATGGCTCCCAGCCCTTCCCCAGCGCCATCGGAAGATTCTACACCAGCGGAATGCCTAACACGAAGCCACTTTGAACAGGCAATGGAGATTATGGCAGAAAAATTAATTGCCACCTGGCAAACGACCGCCGACCAAATTAAGAGGGAGGTGAGAGATCTCTCAACGAGAACAACTACCATGGAACGGCGCCACCAGGAGATGGAGTCTGCACAAGCTGCCACTTCAGAGCAACTGCAGGCGATACAACATAAGCTAACAGTCATGGAAGAACGCATGGCGGACCATGAGGACCGTGCCCGAAGAAACAATCTGCGACTCCGCGGAGTCCCAGAGACAGTCCTGCCAGACGACCTGCAAGCCTATGCAAGAGGCCTAATGAGAGCCTACGCTCCTGACATCCCCGCAGACATGCTCCTGGTGGACAGGATACATAGGGTGTCAAAACCCAAAAACCTGCCAGACTCCATACCACGCGACGTATTACTGAGGGCCCACTACTTCCATATCAAGGAGCTGGTCCTCCGCTCTCACCGGAACAGAGAGGGCCCCCATGATGATTTCCCATCGGTGCGCATTATGGCGGACCTGTCGCCAGCCACACTCCGACGCAGAAGGGATTACATTCAGACCACCACAGCACTCCGCAACCATGGGATTCGATATCGGTGGGGGTTTCCCACGAAACTAATACTCACCAAAAGCGGGAAGACGTCCATCATATCATCCCCAGAAGAAGGATTACAGCTTATCGAGACATGGGGCCTACTAAAAGAACCACCGGGAGAACCGCGGCATGACAAACGCCGCCCAGGCCGCAATGCAGCCATGAACTGATCCACTAACTTACAAAACATTATGCACCTGACGCAAGTATCATTTAATGCTTACCTATGCTTACCTCTCTCTGTCACTCAATGTGCTTCAGTAGGTAGCCGTCAGCTACCTTGCGCTGTATCTGAGCTTTATTCACCCCGTCCGCTCCTTATGCCCCAGCACCCGTAGTGTCCCAGACCAAGTGGAAGGGCTTGCCACAGGAGGACCCTGAGATAGGAGGGAGGCTAGCGGCAGTAAACCCGAAGAATACTTACCAGTATACCCCCACGCTCCCATCACTAAGCACCGCTGGCCCATATACAAAGCAACCGAGGTATTGTAGGCGCACACCTATAGGGCAAACTCCACCAGTGAGCCTCAATGTCACTCACTGTAGGCCACCCCCTCCCCACCAAGGTTCAGGCATGCCAAATCCATGCCCACGGGCAATGCCCCCCTCCCTCTATATGCCAACCCAGCTCTCTATTGCAATATAAATGCAACATAAACTGTGCAGGTATGCTTACCAAGGGTATAAAGCAATCTCCAAGGTTATAACGTGCTCTATGAAGCTATAAAAAAAAAAAAAAAAAAAAAACGCCTAGAGCCACCCTTACTCACTAGACTAACTCCTAATTGGTACAGAGAGCCTCCACGGCATGCCAACCACCCCCTCCTCCCTTCCTCCCTGCGGGTTGAGAACGCCCAATACTATCTTCACCTGTGATAGCGACGATATACAACATTAAAATAGTCCACCTGGGAGAATGTAAGCTCTGCCCTCGAGCAGACAACCCGATTATGGGGACGCTCACATAAATCGGAGAGAGTCACTCATTCATAAATACACAGAGTCTCAGAGTACTTAAATCCCACAGCGCCAGGTCAAGCAATGATCCTTATATGTCTTCTGCAACCAAAGTTATTGTTAAATGTTAATGTTTTACTATGCCGTTTGCAAGCCTCACTTATGTGTTTTCAGCTCAACTTTATTAAGAATCACCTAGGAGCCCGCTTAGCCACGTATCCGGAAGCTCTAGCTCCTATCCCCCAGGTACACATAGAGTACCAGACCAATAGGTCCTGTACATAACCCCTCCTACTCATTACTTCCCCACACTCCTGCAACCCACCCACCCCCTCCAACGCTTATCAACGCAGAGAATCACACACCAACCAACCCGGCTTGCACACATTCCAGACAAATTCCCCAAACCTCATAACACACAATAACGACCATGCTAATCTACTCGCATAACACCAAAGGCCTGAACACGCCACATAAACGACGCATGCTCCTCAATGATATCAAACAAACCAAGGCGGACATTGTCTGCATACAAGAAACGCACTTTGTCTCCACTAAAGTCCCAACCTTCGCCCTCAGGGAATATCCCACGCAACACCACGCCACCCACACCTCCAAATCCAGAGGCGTATCCATCCTGCTACATAACTCTCTAACCGTAGAAACTCTTAGGGTCAAAAAAGACAACCAGGGACGGTACATAATTCTACACTGTAGAATAAATGAGCACCCATATGTCATAGTATGCCTCTATAGCCCAAACGAACAACAACGTAACTTCTTACACAAAATTCTCGCCAAGCTACCCGAGGGTGTGAATGACCCCAAGATCATATGTGGCGACTATAACCACGTCATGGACACACATATGGACTCAACCATTCCAAACACGTCGACAAGGCACCACACTCTCAGGCCCCAAACCAAGGCTTTCACCAAGCTCATCCATGAAAATAGCTTATACGATGTTTGGAGAACAAAACACCCCTCAGAAAAAGAATACACGTTCTTCTCACAAGTACATAAAACCTTCTCCAGAATAGACCACATCCTTGCCTCAGGCACGTTACTCCCACACATAGAAAACTGCTCCATCGGCAATATAGTATGGTCTGACCATGCCCCGATAACAATGACCCTACATTCCGCCTATCAACACCGAGGTAAGCCGCCGTGGCGCCTCAACGAGTCATTGCTCTATGACCAAACATTCACAACGCTACTGGCAACAAACTTAAAAGAATTTTTCAAGACAAATGACACCCCAGATGTCTCCATATTCTCAATATGGCAAGCCCATAAAACGGTGATGAGAGGCTTAATAATCAGCCGTGCATCCCACCTGAAACGTGAGCGAGAAAAACACCACACAGATCTCCTGCGTAAACTGAGAGATACCACCGCGGCTCACCTTCTAACCCCCTCCACAGCCCACGCTGAGGAAATCCAAGAAATCACCAAACAACTTAACGCATTATCTTTGGAAAAAACGTCCCACATCCTTGCCAAACTGAAAATGAGAACATACACCCAAGGCAACAGAGCTGGGAAACATCTGGCCACTATGCTTAAAAAGCAGCAATGTAACTCTAAAATTCCACACTTGTTTACCGCCAAGGGCGACAAAATATACAACCCGCAAGACATCAACGACAACATGGCTGACTATTACCACTCTCTATATAACCTTTGCACAGATCCCACTCTACACCAACCAAACACAATAGAAATCGAAGAATTTCTTGCGAAGACTCAGCTTCCTACTCTTACTGAAACACAAAAGAATGCCATACAACTTCAAGTCACCACACAAGAAATACTGGATACCATTAACTCCTTACCCCCCGGGAAATCACCAGGCCCTGACGGCATGACCAATGCCTACTATAAGCAATTCGCGCCACTCCTGGCCCCCTACCTACAAAGGGTATACCACCACGCCACACTGACAGGCCACCTGCCAAAAGAGATGCTAATGGCCCACGTCGCCACCCTCCCTAAGCCGGGGAAACCCCCCAACAGATGTCAAAACCTCCGCCCTATCTCCCTGTTAAACACGGACGTAAAAATCATAGCGAAAATCTTCTCCAACAGGTTAGCACATATCATACCCTCTCTGATACAGGAAGACCAGGTGGGATTCGTGGGTGGTAGACAAGGCACTGACGGCACAAGGAAAACACTAGACCTACTCTACGAGATCCAACGGAATAAAACCCCCAGCGTTCTATTATCATTAGACGCTGAAAAAGCCTTTGACAGGCTACACTGGCCCTTCCTAATGGCAGTACTCCGAAAATTCGATTTTCCCCCTCAATTTTTAGCGCTTGTCACGGCACTTTACTCCTCCCCAACAGCCAAGGTAGTGAACGGGGGATTTATATCGAAACCATTCCACATCTCCAATGGCTCCAGACAGGGCTGCCCCCTTTCCCCCCTCCTCTACATCCTGACACTAGAACCCCTTACCCAACTGATCAGAGACAACCCCAATATACACGGGATCAAAATCAAAAACCGAGAATATAAACTATCTTTATTTGCGGATGATATCCTTCTCACCTTAGAACAACCGCACATATCCCTGCCCAATTTCCACAAAATCCTCTCCCAATTCAGCGCCTGCTCTTACTACAAATTGAACATCTCCAAAACACTCGCCCTAGGCGTCAACATCCCCAATCAAGAACTATTGCTCCTCAAAACCAATTTCAACTATGATTGGAGACGAGATCATATCAAATTCTTAGGCATCCTCTTCACACCATCCACGAACTCCCTATATAAAGCCAATTATATCAAACTCCTCACAGAAATTCGAACTCTGCTGCACAGCTGGAGGGGCAAGTACATATCCTGGACGGGCCGAATAGCTTCCGTAAAAATGGTAATCCTACCGAAAATCCAGTACATGTTCCGCACGCTCCCACTTAAGCTCCCCAACAAGTACTTAAAGGACCTGCAAAATTCAATAAATGATTATGTATGGGACTACAAAAAACCAAGAGTAGCCCTGAACACGATGGTCGCCACACGAGCCCAAGGAGGGATGGGTCTACCAGATGTGAAAGGTTACTATAGAGCTGCGCAAATTGCTCCACTTATTGCAGCTTCCCACCGCTCGACTCCCATGACATGGGTCGAATTGGAGAAACATAGAGCCGACGGCATCTCACTCCCCGCCGTGGCATGGATGCCACCGAAACACAGACCCAAAGCGCCAGAAATGCTGCCGACAACCACACTTACTCTCTCTGTGTGGGATGACTACCGCAAAAATAAGGGGAACATGTCACCTATCTCACCGGCAACCCCAATAGAATCGATCCAGCACCTTATCCCAAATTTCAACCACAAACTTTGGCACAGACATGGCATCCACACGCTGTCGCAGGTGTTGCAGGGCACCAAACTCAAGCAATTCAAGGATATATGTGAAGAATTCCGAATACCAACGACAGCGACCTTCTCCTATAACCAGCTACAATCATGGATAAACCTACATAAATCGCAACAAACAGTACACCCACCTGATCCACACTGGCTTAAACTGACAGAGATATGCACCAAGACGAAACCGGCAACAAAAATTATCTCAACAATTTACACATCTGAAAAGACAGACACCCACGGCAAAATACCCTCCTATAGGATAGCATGGGAAAAAGACATAGGGCATGAACTCACTGATGAACAATGGCAATATATATTCCGCGCCAACAACAAGCTATCCCTCTGCACATCACACACAGAACTCTCCCGTAAATTGATGTACCGGTGGTATCTCGTACCAACGAGACTTAAACACAGCTACCCGAACGTGTCAGACACGTGCTGGCGCTGCCAGCGAGACCGAGGTACCCTGCTGCACATATGGTGGCAATGCCCACTGCTGAAACAGTTTTGGTCACAAGTCCTAAATCTAACGATCCGCTGCACCCAACTGCAAATTACTTTGATACCTGAACTATATCTACTATTACTACTCCCCCAAACACCTCACATTCACACCAGGTACTTGCTATACCACATCTGCATAGCAGCTCTCACCGTCATAAGCAGGAAATGGAAACAACCCACTGCCCCCACGATCAGCCAGTGCATTACAGCTATAGAAACTTCCAAATCTTACGAAATGGCAGCGAGAAAACCAGCACAAAACAAATCTTACTGGACTGAGGCTTGGGACATATGGGACAGAAACAAACCACGCTGAAATGCATAACAAAGCACTACCAGAATCGAGAGACACAACTCCCTCCTCCAGAGGCACGGAAGAAGCCACTCCAATCCATGTCCACGCACCCACTCCTTAACCACAACATGATTCATGCACACCACACATCAACCCCAAACATTCACTCTCCCCCCTACCCCCCGCATTCCCCCTCCCCCCCCTCCCTTAACCAAAGACTACCAACCATGCCAACACTGCAGATCGACACCGCCAAACCACATTGAACACGATACAAGCGAAAGAGACCCATGACCGCACGTTAAGGATCAGAGGATATGTTACTATACATGTTCATATTTGTATTTTGTACATTGTACTGTCTAACACCCTCACGGTGTCCGTGATGATCGCATACTGTATCTGTGATAACATGCGTTATGCCTTTGGTACCCCACCTAACCCTCTTCACTTCTGTACCCTTCCCATGACCCCTTATTGCAAAATAAAAATCGTCAAATTCAAAAAAAACTGGGTGTACGTATAAATCACACATATCTGAGATAGAATTTAATAATTTTTCTGCCAAAGGGAATATTTATACTAAAGAACTGGGTGAACACATAGGTATTAAGTTAGCAAAACTAGAAACTTTACCTATTTAAGCCAAAGAGGATAATTTAATTCTTGACGAGCATAACAGGAGGAGAGATATATGGTCAACAAACTTACCTTGTATCAACTTACCCACCTTCCATCCACCTTCCATCTGTCTGCGGGTGGGTGGGTGGGATAATACTTGCCTCTGTGTCATTGATAAAAACATGACTTTATGTCACGGTAATAGTAAAATCCTTGAATTTTATTAAGACACGGAGGCTCCTATTATGCTGGTTTAAAACTGAGAGATTACCGTTCCCGCGAAATGTTGTATGGGTTTAAAATAAAAATCACGGAAGGTAGACTCTGAAGACCAGTCGGCCGCTCTCAAAATGTCTTTGACATGACAACCCATTGAAAAGGCCTTGGAAGCCATCGCTCCTCCAACTGAGTGAGGTGAGAACAGCCGATTCCCGCTGTAGACATAATCCATTTGACCCAGCGAGCTAGGGTAGGAGTAGACACTGGTAGGTGTGGTTTTTGGAAGGAAACAAAAAGTTTGTGTTTCGCAGGGTCTCGTAAAGCGGAGGTGGGAAGTTCATAAGTCTGTAGGCATTTGACCGGACATAAGGATGGCCTGTCAGGGAATGCTGGGTATGACACTTTCTTTGATGACGTCTTCGTTCTTCGAGATATATCGAACATAACCCCTTCCGGGGTGTAGGAATGTGTTATAATGTCCAGGGCTCTGACATCGGAAACCCTCTTGCTGATAGCTGTTTCAGGGATAGAAGTGCATTATCTGGCCATGATTCGAAAAAATTGAGGATGATGGAAACGTCCCATAGTACCGAATATCGTGGTAGTGCGGGACGAGCAAATTTGATGTCACGTAGGAGTCTACATATCAGCGGGTGGTGTCCTATCAGGACTCCATCTACACCTCGGTGTATAGCCGTGATGGCCGATCGGTACAGATTCACTGTACGATATGCTTTGCCGTCCTCAAATAATGACGTTAGGAATTGGAGGATCGAAGTCGGAGGAGCCGATAAGGGATCCAAGTCTAGTTCCAGGCACCAGTCTCGCCACCTGTTCCATGAAGACTTATAGGCTTGTCTCGTGCCGGGTGCCCATGCGCCCTTGAGAAGGAGGAGAGTTGGCTCCAAAACTCCTCCGATTGCCCGAGGTCCCCTGAAATCAGCCGCACCGTGAGATGTAGTAGGCCTTGTTGTACCAGGGGGTGAGGGGATCCGTCTGGGTCCTGAAGCAGGTACTTGAAGTGTGGGAGGATGTGGGGTATGTCTATCGTCATTTCCAGGAGGGAGGGGAACCATGGTTGGGAGGGCCATAACGGTGCCACAATCACCAGAATTCCCGTCTGGCATCTTACTTGAAGTAGGCAACGGGGGCTCAATGCAAACGTTGGAAAGGCATAGTTCCTTGTGGACGACCAGTCTTGGGTGAACGCATCTGTTGCAAGAGCTGATGGGTCCAGTCTCCAACTGAAAAATCTGGGGCGTTGTGTATTCAAGCGGGAGGCGAGAAGATCTTCGTCCATGGGGCCCCATAATGTCTGGATGTCTCGGAAGAAGCGGGTTGCCAATCTCTGGTGTCCCTAAGGTGACGTGAGTACCTGTAACGGACCGTTTTGCTCACAAGGGGTAAAAACCGTTTAGGCTATAATCCCCTTCCCGATAGACCAGCAACTACTGCAATCACCAACCTCCCGAACTCCAAACTGCACGTATTCACCAACTCTCGAACAGCAGACACACGAACCCTGGAAGCAGCCGAACAGGAAAAGCCCTACGAACAGCTTACACTCCTGGCAATCGGCATACAGTCAAATTCCCACCAAGAATGAGACGACACTTCACTTTGAGGGTTAAACAGGAACAACCTGTACTGTCACATACAGTCTCTTTTATTCCCAATCCACAAACATAGTACAGCCCACAGGGCGTTACAAAACAACCAATCAATCCGTACAATACACCCAGACACTCCCACACAAAATCCTCCCCTCTGCCTGTGATATGATTACTGAACACAATGGGTAATCTCATTATCACCGGCAGAGGAATACAGTTTTTACACAATATTTATAACTTCTAAAATATACATGTCACAAACATAAAACATACATTTTCATAATCAATCCATTCAGGGGAACAACATATAAAAAAATGGCACGAATCAGACCAGGGGTTCAAAAGTTAAGGGAAAGTCCTTTGTGACTAAATGAAGCATGGCTTTCCGGCCCAAACCAGTTTCAGAGTCTTCTATCTTGGAGATTGAATTGAGAAGTAATTCAATTATCTCCCAGGACAGACACAAGACTCCATTATGCACATGGGTGAGCACAAAGCATTAAAATATTATAAAATACACAAAGTCACATTTTATACATAAAACACGACATGTGACATATCCCCAGATAGCTGGGATCCGAGCGCACAAAACTACCGAATAGCGCTCAGATCCTATTCATACAGTTCAATTGCCATGGAGCCGAAGTCTTTAACTACACGAATGGGCTCCATGGCATAGCTATCTGGGTTAACACATTCACATATCCCAAAGTACCGACTGAACCGGTGTTCGACACCAAGGGCACGAATAGGAACCAGGGGGCGGACGGCTCAGCTGTGTTGGCGCAAGGAAGTGTCCGTTTTCCGTTCCACAGTGTTAGTGCTGAGCACCGCTGGCCTTTCGGGACTTAAAATGGCCACTGCCACGTGTTTGGCAAACGAACAAAGGCCACCCAGCATTCATCAATTAAGCTGCGGTTAACCGCAGCTTCTGGGCGGTCAATTGGCGGCACACTCCAGCTCCCCGGTGGTCCCCCGTTCGGTAGTTGGAATCTACCGAACACCTCGCCGGCAGAAAGGCACGAATAAGCCTTTCTGCAGGGAAAATAAACAGTTTAACCTGCAGGGCCATAGTCCAAAGGGAGCAGGCGAGCAACCAGGCTTCTCCAGTTCACAGTGGCGAGGTTGGTTTCGCCAAAGTACCAATCTGATGTGGTGTGGCGGAGACCCGGGATATATTCCGCTGTGACCGAGGTGCCTTGTGTCAGGCAGAACTGCCAGAAATCCTGTGCCATGTTCACCAGGACCCTCAATGTCGTGCCCCCCTGGTTGATATATCGGACTGCTGATATATTGTCCTTCAGAAGGATAAATTACTGAGCTTGAGTTGGCGAGAAACTGCGTATTGCCAAAGATCCGGCCAGGAGTTCCGTGCAATTGATGTGGGGGGAAGATTCCACGTCGGACCATCTGCCACCTGTAGATACATTTCCACAGCGAGCACCCCAACCGTGCAAACTCGCGTCAGATTCTATTATGAGATCTGCTGCCGAAAATGGCACGACCATTCCAGCTTTCCATATGGAAGAGCCACCATTTCAGTTCGTCTTTCGCTTCTGAGTTCAGAGTGATCAAATCTGTGTAGGAGACCCCGTCTATCAAATGGGAGGCTTGTAGGCATTGTAACGCTCGGTAATAGAGAGGGCCCGGGAAGATGGTTTGTATGGAGGCTGCGAGGAGACCTATCACTCTCGCCAACTGTTTGCGAGTAAGTTGGGGAGTCACCAGCATGCCTCTGATTTCCTTCTTTATACTGTTCAGTTTTGTCGTTGGCAGGTGTAGGGTCTGAAGCGTAGAATCCACGATGAGACCCAAAAATTTTATGTGTTGTGTGGAAATCAGAATGGATGTCTCCCAATTGATGAGGAAGCCTAGTTTTTGTAAAAGTATCTGAGTCCAATTCAGGTGTGTCTTGGTTAGTTGGGTAGACTGACCCATGATGAGGATGTCCTCTAAGGAGATTGAGACGTACTCCTCCACTTCGTAGTAAGGCGACCATGGGCTTCATTCATTTGGTGATGCACCATGGGGCATAAGACAGTTCGAACGGGAGGCAGTTGAATCTCCATTTTTTTCCTTGCCATATGAATTGCAGGAAGTCTTGGTGATGCCGTGCAATCGGTACTGTGATATAGACGTCCTGCAGCTCTAACTTCACCATCCAGTCTGATGGTTGGAGGAGATCTCTTATGCAGTGTATGCCTTCCATCTTGAAATGATTGTAGGCAACATAAATGTTGAGTTGTCTCAAATTGATCACTGGGCGGGCACTGCCGCCTTCCTTGGCAACTAAGAAAAGGTTGCTCACATAGTCTGGGGTGGACATAGGGAATCTCTAAGATGGCTTGTTTGTGTGCCAATTCCAGAATCTCCTTGGAGACAAGGGAGGCGTCTTGTCGGGAAAAACGAATTTCCAGTGGTGGGGAGTATTATACTAGTAGGGACAGGAATTCTATGGCATACCCTTTAACCATGTTCAACACCCATGTATCTGATGAGATGTGTGACCAAGCATGGAAGAAATGCAGGAGTCTGCCCTCCACTGCCCCTAGGGAAGATTGAAACTTGAGAGGACTTACCATAAGGTCGTCGTCCTGAGCGGGTGCCTCGTGATCCACGAGCAACCCATGGCCGCCCATGTTGTGGGAAGAAGGCCGGAGTGTTGCGGTGTCTTCAGCGAAGGTAGGTTGTCCAGTGTAGGAGCCTCGGTTCTGTCTTAATGAACTCCTTTTAATACGGCTGGACAGACGGTTCCTGGCTCTTCCGGCCCCACCAAAAACCTTAGGGTGGAAAATCTTGCGCATATTCGATTGCGCTTTATCTATGGCAGTAAAAGTATGTACGAAAGAGCCAAGCTCTTTGACAAAATTGTCCCCGAACAGGAGACCTTTCGCTTGGGTGCCCGGCTCGTTTATAGCCATGTTGACCAACTTGGGTTTTATTTTCAATACTATTGCTTTGCAACGCTCCGTAGCCATTGCAGAATTGGCATTGCCAATCAAACAAATCACTCATTGTATCCAGCCACTGATGGCGGTACGATCCAACTCTTGGTCGTTTTCGACCATATCAAATATCTTGGTTGCTGGGCCCAATATATCCAATTTCTTATCCTGGCTGTTGTGCCGGTAGAAATCTAGGCCTTTGTTAGGCTTCCAGCCTGTCTTGCCCAAGAATTGGGTGATTTTTGGGCCCACTGCAGGTGTTCTGCAGGCTTCATCTGGGACAGCGGGTCGTGGGCATTCTGCCCGAAGTTTATTTTGCGTCGCCTTATCTAAGGGCTTGTGAACTATAGAAGCTATATATTTGGCCACATGGACTGAAGGGGACAATTCTGCTGACCGTGGGTGATGTAGATCATCGGGGTCGAACAGAGGTTCCCCATATGGGTCCAAAATGTTATCTGTATCTACTGGGGCTTTAAGCTCCATGTCACATGAGTCAGATTGAGGCGTATTACGCTCTCGGAAATCGTCTTCAGCCAGGCTATCTGATTCGGGATCCTCCGGATCCATATAGGTCTCCTCCTCAATCTCGCTGAGATCTGACTCAGAATCTAGTTGGGCATTTCCCCTTTTCCAAAGTCTAGCCGATTTTGCCCTGCTATTGGCTCTTTTGCGCGGTGGCCGATTAGGCGCGCCATCTGTGCCAGGTGTATAACTGTCCATCTGTGAGATTGAGGAATGTTTAAGTTTAGCCATGGCTTTGCGGCCAATGTGAGGTTGTGCAGGGGTTACACTAGGTAAAGCCTGGTCAACGGTCGGCTGAGCCGATTTCTGTGCTTCAAGCAAGGCATGTGTAAGGGTCTGAGAAATTGACTCAGACGTCAGTCCCATGGCCGATGTGAGGGCCTTAGTCATAGCCTGAGACGTGGTGGTGTCAATCAGCGACTGCATATCAGTAGCAGAATCAAATTCAGCGCGGAAAACCACTTCATTATTAGATGTCCCTGCGGGTGTTATAACATACCCTAGATTGGGGTTGTGAGACCCAGTAGGAATGGGTACATCTTTGTCACTGGGCATGTTGGAATGCTAATTAAAATTGGCAAGAGTACAAATTTTTATTATGCAACTGTAAACCTAGAAAAAAGGAGGGTTGAGTAACCCAGGAGAAAAGGGGGGATAATAGGTGTGGAAAGATAGTACAAACGAATACTCACAGTGTAGAAAACGAGCAAATAAATCTACAAAATGACTCCGGAGAGACAGGGAGCAGTGTGACCGCCACTACAGCTGAAAAACCCCAACTCCGAGCTCCGGCCATTGTGGGGCGGAGTTAGAAGCAGAGTACTGGAAAAACCAAGTAAATGGCCGCTGCGAGCAGCAGTCCAGACAGGGGAGCAGAGTGCTGGCCATAGACCGGGTGGTAAGATGCTCGCGGCCAGCGTGTTAGCAACCGAGGCGGGTGCCCTACACGTACGTGAGCCCCGAGCGGACCGTCAGGCGAACTGGTTCCCTGACGTGTTTGAGCTCCGCGAATAGGAAAAGCTAATATGGTTGAAAGACTTTAGCATTAATAGTATATTAACTAATCAATGATAAATCGATAATAACACTTAAATATATCAAATAATATATCAATAATAATAATAATAATAATACTATCACAAGAAAAGTAATAATCCCACAGTTAAGAACTGGAGAGAATGGAATCTGATTGGCTGTTCCTGTTACTGGGAAGATTACCGCTCAGACTATTACTGTTATTTATTGGTTATGTGTATAAAAAAATGTTCTTTGCTGCTGAGGGAAATAAAGAAAGAGTGCAACATAATCGGAGCATCCGTGTCTTAATAAAATCGGAGTTTTATTCTATGCAGATCAACATTCCATAACCTTGTGATCTGCAAAAGTCTCTTGTGCTGCAGAAGATTGATAGTCAAAAGCAGTTTGTCAGTTCACGAACTCATTTCTACTCTACAAGTGTGAATTACTTTTTTTATCTCCTCTCCAGGGTTTTTACATTACTACATTTTTATCAGCAGGATCTGCAGACTGTAATATTATTATTTTTTTCTTTGTCTACCTTTCTCGAGCTGAGAATGGAAACCTAGTTTTGCATGTGGCTCCCAGATGCCTAATCAACCTCATAGCTTAAAAATGTATCATTTGACTGTTCTCGTAGGATGGACATGTTAACAAAAGTTCTGATGCAAACATCATCCAGTTAACAGATCTTAGCAAAACCGGGACAGTTGTCAACTATGAAATAAGGACTGCCCCTTCTAAATGGGGACACTTGGGAGGTATGTAAATGTTAACTTGCAGTTTAAGAGTTAGATGTCAGACACTAGAGTCATATCGCTGTGTGTTCAAGCTTGGCATGCTTAAAGAACTATGGCGGGCAAAGTTCTGGTATAAGATATTATCCATCTAATGGAAGGGCTTATCCTATGGGATGCGGCATTGGCAATGAAAAATTAACCTTTAATCAATGCTAGTAATTGAGAAAACTGTTGAACAAAGTGCAGCAGAGTTAATCGATGGGCTTGTTTGGCTAATAAATATTTGATAGCATTGATTATAGCGAGTCCAATGTTTTGGCATCTATAATGCCGCTGGGCAATCACTTGGCATGTGAGAAACGAACGCTTGACCTGTAATGCATAAACAAATCCGTCGTCCGTATAAGGAAGAGGTTCTCATTCAAAGTATTCAGTTAATGGAGGCTTATTTAAAAGGTCAAAAGAGATCTCTCTTAATTTAGATTTTACGGAGAAGCAAAGAAGCAATGTTTTTGTCGGCGCTTACCTTTTTAAAATTGCAAGAAATAAAAGTCTGAATGGTTTTGCGCTGTTTAATATAACACTTTTACCAACAGACATGTTGGTTTGCTATGCATTCCAGAGGTCAATAGAATCCCATTTAGTGCTAGAATTCAAGGATGATAAATTTACGGTTTCATCTTTTATACTTGACTTGTGCATTTCTACGGCTCATGTTGAATCAGTGCATCTCTATGATGAGAAGCTGATTGGCACCAGCCAATTACCCAATGGACCACCAGGGATCACGTTTCCCCCCTCCCTGGCCAAAGGTAAATCTCAGGGAAGGGGGGAGAAATTGCAATTATTTTACATTTTAATTAAAGCCACCATCTACTCCACTACACCACCTAACCCCCCACTTCACCCCTTAAAGCCACTCTACTACCCCTAACTCCTCACTACTGCCCCTAAATTCCAACAACTGACTCTAGCCCCCAACTACGCATTCTATCCCCCACTACACCCTCTAACCCCCAATAGAGCCCCTAACCCCTTCTCTAGATTCTAACCCCCCACACCTGCTTTTTACCCCCAACTACTGTCCCCAATTCCTGAGAAAATGCTTTAGAAATACAACCCTGGTAATACAGGCAAATGGTAGATCCTTAGATGAGTTGTACAACAGTTGAGGACCTACCTTTTTGCCACCCTTGCATTAGGGTGTGGGGGGGGGGGGGATCAAAACAAATACTTGCCCTCTTTACGTTAGATCTGCCACTGGAATGAGTAGACGTACTGAATGCATTGACTGATAAATGAGTGTGTGATTGTAAATAGAAACATTTATACAGAAAAAGAGACTTTTTAAAAGGAATTCCATAAAGCCTCATTTAAATTCATATATTAAATCTAGCTAAGCAGTTGGTTGGGCCTGACATTTAATGTAAACATAATGACGGCCTTTTTAACCACAGACATGCATTTAGCAATTCATATAAAATGTCAGTGCTACTTGGCGAATCTGTTCTCGTCCAATGTCATTGTCAATAAGCCAGACTTGACGCGTGTCATCTTGTGTCGCTGAGTCAGCAGAACGTCTGACCTTGAGCAATTCTTAAAATGGAAATAGGGACGCTTTAGCAATATTTCCTGATACTGCACGCATGCAGAGGTTCTCTCTTATCGGTCCAATGACACAAGCTTTGCGGTTTGTTCTTTAAACACTTCGAGAGGCAGGGCGGATGTGCAAACAAATTACTTAAACAGGTCCTGCCAACAGAAAAGAGGGATTAAATATTCCTTAACTTAAACTAAAAGAAACTTTAAATGAGTTAATAGATTACAAAATATAATAAGTAGAGGAAACCGTTTGGGAAAAAGTATATCTAACGGTTAAAAATAAACATACACTTAATTTTTTTTAAAAAAATGCAAAATCAGGAGCGAGTACAAAAAAGAGGGCCTCAGGTGCATGCTGTGAAATGTGCTATTCTAAACACAAGAGGTTACAAATGAATCTAGCAATATATTATACATATCTTACGAAGTGAATGATTTGCCAATATAAATTGATAGTTTTATTTTATTCTCTACTTTTTTCTCGTACTCGAGTAACAGATCAGATTTTAATATATAGTTTGGCTGGCATATACATTTCGCTTTGCCTTCGTTATTGCTGGGTGCCAAGTTAATGTGGGGCAGTGCAGTATGATTGAAGCAATCACTATGGAGCCAGTATGATGTAAGACTGATAGCTTCATGTTTAGAAACTGGCTTCCAAAATGTTTATTATTTTTAATTTTTTCCATCATTGCTGTCCAAGACTGGACTTTGGAGAGATAATGTGAAAGTTAATTTTCTGTGGAGGAGCCAGGTTTTGAGTGTCCTATGTCAAGGTAACAGCCCCGGTTTTTGGCAAACTGCTCACAAATTGTGACAGAAAACTAGAAATGTAGAAACGCTCCCAAAACCTGCTTGCACCATAACAACAATGAGCTGCAGTGGTCATAGTGTTTGGAGTGCTCCTTAACTCCTAAATCTTACAATTAACTTATTTTATTGGGCCATAATTAGGCTAATTGACTAAAACATGTGCCCTTGTTCGTCAATACCAGGGATAGGCAACCTTCAGCACTCCAGATGTTTTGGACTACACCTCCCATGACGCTTGCCAGCACTATGGGTGTAAGAGTATTATGGGGGTTGTAGTCCACGACATCTGGAGTTCTGAAGGTTGCCTACTCCTCTTCTATACTATACATACGGACCAACATTTTAAACTGACAAAGAGGGACACTTTAATTTTAGGGGTGTGAGCGGGGGGTTGTCCAGGGTTGGGGCTGCTCTGAGACATTTAAGTTGACTTACTAATAACAATTTATGCAACAAAAATGTAATTTAGAACAACAACAATGTATCTTATTTACACAGACTGATTACTGGGAGTATTATTGCTGTGGAGCTCTGTTATACACTCAGACACACCAACAATACAGAGCTCCTAGAAAAGAGGGACATTAGGATAGAGAAGAGTGACAGAGGGATTTGGGCCCAAAATAGGGACTGTCCCTACTAAATTGGGACACTTGGGAGGTATGCATTTTCCCCATTTAAAATGTGTGTGCAAGTGGGGTATGCTAGATTTGCCAATGCACCCCCTAAAAATATGTATCTATTCATCCTTTATCTCATTTAAGTCTCATATTGGGTTATCTTTCATCTTGCTTAAGATATAGAGCGTGAACATTTTCATTTTTCTAATTCTGGTTATCGTTAGGGCAACTGCCCTAATAATCTATACAATTATGTCTATAATTCTATTCCTTTAATGGAACCCTGCTTCTTTTTATACAGAGCTCTATAATTATATATCTTCCATTAATCTGGAGCGTAATAAACCTCATTATTATTAATACTATTATATAATAAGTTGATTTTCATTTTTATTTTTTAGTTTTATTACGATTATTTTTGTTTGTTTTAAATCAAGATTACTAAACTGATCAAAAGCAGCATTTGAATTTAGAGAGATAACTTTCCGATAAAAGTGAATTGGAACCAAAGCCACTTGACCTCTCGGGAAGCAAATGTCACAGATCGGACATTGACAATCATTGTCATAGACGTGCGTGTTGGTGCAAATAATAAAGAACTCAAAACCGTGAATTAAAGGCAGTCGCTGAATTTTAAATGTGTTCTCGACGGATAATTGTTTTGTTGAAATCCATTACAAAATGGGATGTAGGGTTGAAGGACATTGAGAATGGATTATGTTTTTGGTTTGTTGCTGTGTCGCTGCGTGTGTGTGTGTGTGTA